TCACTTAGATACTTATTAAAGGGTAGAAAATACACAGCACAAAAACAAATACAAACTTAAATTTACCGGTTTTAACTTGAAATGTTACGATACTTTTAAAAGCCCCATTTATCATAAGAGGTTATGGTTTTTTTATCATATAGTCTTTTTGGTCATTCTGTTAGAAAAAATGTAGTACGTTAACCATAAATTCAAATTTAGTGTTGTTCATTGTCCCAATTTGTATATACAGCATTAAAAAAATAATCAAAATATAGAAAAACACTTTGTAATTCATATATTTTTTGCAACATAGCAAATATCATTATTTTAAAGTAAATACTTTCATTAAAATTATTTTAGTATTACAGTTACAGAGGCAGTGGATGGAATAATTACATCACGAGACTTAACGTAAAATCTAACCTAAGAGAAGTTTTAACTCTTAATAAAAAAAAAAGAGCAAAAGAAAGGGAAACTTATTTAAGATTTCAAAAAAGTCATTATATGATGGTAATCATGGCCATCACTCAGAGACACAATCAAATTTATTTAATACTATTGCATGCGAAAAGCGTTATGGCGGCTATTGTACCCAAGAGACCAAACTACTGATGGACACTCTAATTGTGACCTGACGTGTGATATTGTCATTACTTCTGTTTTGTTAAAAGTCTTACGATAAATCCATAGCTTTTTGAGACATCTGCCTTTACCTTAATAACATGAGGAGCAAAGGATAATTTCGAGTCGAATATTACTTAAATCGCAAAAAGTTTTAGAACGGGAAGAAGGTTTATCAAAAAGAGAATAATCAAAAACACTACATTGCATGCATTAAGCTGCAAGTTATTATGTAGAAACGAATTGATGATTTCCTCCCACCTAAACTGGAAAGTGTACCCTAAAACATTGGATTTAAAAAAAGAAAACCTCATTACCATATTACACAAAACAACACAAAATAAATGTTGAAAAATAATGGCCTCAGTATTGAGCCTTGAGGGACATCTGATTAAGATAGAACTACTGAGTCCGGTTAGACAAGTATGGAGAAAACAAATCAACAAGCGATTCAGAAAATCCAAAAGTACGATGCTTGTGGATTAGAATATCGTGATCCAACTGATCAAGCGCTTGTGAAACATCAATATATATGAAGTCCACTTGAGAACCTTCATCGATAGCCTCAAAAATATACTGAGACGTAGTCATTAAATTGAGAATGGTGGATCTCCCTTTAAAAAATCCGTGCTGTTGCTGGGGATTCTAAAATTTTACATAAACTGAAATATGGGAAATATCCCTATAGGTTGTGATTTGCGACCCAAAATTTTTAGGGTCTTTTTGGTTTTTATAAGAGTGTTTAATTTCAGATTTTATCTTTGAAAAAAGATATTTAAAAAAAAATTATTTCTGAGGGACTATCCTTACTTCTCGACCTTTTGCGACTCGGAATTTCTTTTTTAAATTATATATATTGTTTGAATTGAACCGGAGAGGACACTTTTCTTTTGCAATACGTTACGCTATTGAGACAACGTGTATTAAAGTTTGGTAGTAAAATTTTGAGTTATTTTTGGTTAAAAGGTTGAGTTAAGTTGAAATTTTAAAAATTCGACGTAAAACACGAGTTTTAATATATAATTTTCAATTAAGACACGAAATTTTAAAATTAAGTATTGATTTTTGTGTTGCGCCTTCGTAGTGACCCGTCTGATTTGGCTGTTCTTAAAACGATCATAAATTGTGAGACGTATACCTCTGCATCTTTGCGACAGACCATCGTCGGCGTGACGACTCTATCTAAAATAATTTATAATTCAAATAAATAACTCTACAGAGCGTTCACGTCCGCACCATTTTTCGATCTCGTCATTCAAATTGAGATAAATTCCTAATTTTCCGCGCAGTTGATTCCGGTAATTCAACAATGAGACGCATCGGCGACGGTACATTCAGGTTATTGTGCAACGTTACGGCTATATGCGTTTTCACATGCCCAGAGATCGTCGATCTGTCGCGTTGCCATAGTATAAATAAACGCTTTTTCGACCATTACGGTACAGTCGTTTAGTATTTTAACTTCGAAAGTTTTCAGGGAGTTTTGAGAAATGGCAATTTTTTAGATTTTGATGTGCTCTTCCCAAATCTTAATCTTGTCATCTCGTATCTTTAGCGCTTGTGCCGCCATATTGAAAAAATGGCGACCTAAAGCAGTTTTTTGATAATAACTTCTTTCCGACGTATTTTACATGAAACACATATCTATACATAATAAAAGTAGCGAAAATTTCCTACAATCCATGTCATAACCTTTTTTCCCTAAAATCTACAGTTTCGACGGACGAGCGCCGTAAAGTGTAAATCAATACACCTTTCGGCAAAAATACTCATTTCCACACTACCATGAGGTAGAGAAATGGTTACGTTTTTCTTATCGTGGTATCCCCAGTAGACCTAATCCACATCTGATTCACTATTTCAAAATTTAGTTCAATTTTCGTCTCTTCATTCGTGTTGACGCACCAGTTCTTGGGTTTTCATCGTCTTCAGTGCTGATCGAAATATCAAAAACGGAAGTTTCTTCTGCGTTACGTTACGCCATCGGATTGTACGATGGTTTGAATAAAATAGATCCATCGGAGATAAAGTAGACTACTGCCATTTCCAGCCATTCATCCATTTAAACGGTGTTAGAATGCAATGGTGAAAATTTCGAATTCCTTATGTAAAAATTGGATTCATTTTTTAGCGTGCAGTTTTTTTAAGTATCTAATATTTTGTTATTGCACTTGCACACTTGTTTTTATTTCAGAAGCCAAACATTTAAGTATAGGGACATGATACATCATTCGAAAGGAAATTTAATTTGACCAACCCTCTATGATAAAAACTAAGGTGGAGCAAGGAGGCCACCTCAAAAATTAAGCAATTTTTTTAAATTATAATTATAAATTCTGGTTATTTGAATATTTTTAGCCCTTCGCGTAATACCGGGGGTAAAATGAACCGCTTAAAAATTCTATTATTATAACAGAATGATAATTAATTTATTGAAAGTGTTATTTTTTGGATAATTCTATGGATTTACCCTAAAGCTTCGAAAATCTTATAAATACTAATAACAGTTTTTTTAATAGATAGAAAAATAGTTACTAATCCGTACCGCTTTTTTCATTAAATACTTTTTAATTAACAATTATAATTATTATATACCACATTATAAATAGGGGAGAGTGGGGCACAACGGCTAGAGGCTTCGGCAAAATTTGGGTAAATTATTTAAAGTTAGTCAGAAATTAATCGACTAGATAGTTAAAAGCCGCAAAAAATAATAAAAGGCTTAAGTGGGCCGCCTTGTCCCACCCCCCCCCCCCTACCTCCCTAACCAAAGTCCAAAATTTTAATTAAATTAATTAAAATATAATTGAAGCTATATTTTGCTCGGATTATTAAATAATTATTAATAATAATAATTAATAATTAAATAATCATAAGCATTAGCTGATCTGAAACTGCATTAAATGCATGGTGTCCCTTTTAAACTTTCAATGTTGACCCTACTTTTTCCAAGAAACGGCAACGTCGCAGCGATAAAGCATCGCCGCCGCTTATGGAACTAACCAAATTTTCAGAACAATCCCATGTACCGTTCGCCGTAAACGTGTAAAGCACTGAAAAGCGGACATTGTCGCGGTAGTCCGCAACCGTTTTCCCCTGCATTTGCCTCGGTAAATATTGGAATAACCGAAATAAGAAATTAATTGGTCGTGACGTCGCTGATTGGTCGAGAGAAATGGCACCGCGCGTCCACGCACAAACCTTGTTATTAACAATTTATATGGAAATGCGAAAGTTCAAGAGTCATGTCGAGGGCATTATTTAATCTGGTCGAAACACGCCCACACGACCGCCCGTGTAGGGGCGGCTTAATTTTGGTGCGCAATTAACTATATCCAATCGCCGACTAAACAAAACGCAAGACGATTAATTAATCGACGCCGTATAATCGAAACGGGTTGGGTTGGGGTGGGTCGTATGTGGGACATAGGTTAAAAAAAAGTCTCAAATCGGCAATTTAACTGAATTTTATTTAAAGCTTTACTGGCAGCTCAACTTTTCATGCGCCGACGTCTTTTCAGTCAAATTGCAAGTTTTGCTGCATTCAACATTCAAATTAGAACTCACCACGATCGTAATTAAACTCAAAACCCTATCAGACCCTACTTCCTTGCAGTACATATCCGTCTACTGCTGTAATTTCTTAAGCGGGTTTTACAGGGACAGTTTTTACTCTCATATTCTCATATTCCTATTTTTGGCGATATGTCAGAAACGAGTGAACCAAAATATAAAGTGTGTTATTTCATTGCAATCGAAATAAAATACTCTATTAAACGGATATATAATATATTTAAAACATATGATGCAACTTGGATAAAATCTTAGTTACTAACCGTATATTTGGTTTTGTGCTTATCTGGATATCTTTAAGAATAAAAAATCAAAATGCTTCCAAGATAAATTGAAACCGCAATTCAACTTTTAAGTACTACAACGAAACTATTATTTTGCATGAACATCCAAAAATTATTAACGTATTACTCAGCAGTTTCTTGAGCAATTTTTTTATCTTTGACATAAAATTTCTAATTTCCCCCACCAGGCTATAACTTAATATAATTCCATATGTCTAATATTGAAAGTATTAACTTAGCTCAAGATTTTGACTTATATCACTAAAGTGCTCTAAATATGTACTAACGCGTTGACGCCTTTTTATTAAATAGAATTTTACATTAAATAATCTGGAAGAGTTAATTTTTATAATTTCAATTTCTAGCTTCATGTAAGAGTTTTTTTTTGTGTAAAATGTATACAGTGCATCCTTTAAAAATTGTATTTTATTTTAAGTTACCTAACAAAGTTATCCGATAAATTAAAAAAAATAGTTTTTCTTTAATTTTTCCCTTTGTTATTATTATTTCCTCCTCACTAATTTCCTTGAATTTAAACAGGTGCACAATATGTACCAAAGTCAAATTGCCAACAAGACACGCGAAAAGTCGATCGGCGAATGGTCTGCTTGGAGCGACTGGAGTCTATGTTCGAGGAGCTGTGGAGGCGGAATAACTCAGCAAACGAGGCACTGCATCAGCAGGCTTGCGGATTCACGGTAAGAAATAACTGCATGACTGCGAAGAAAGAATACCTTATTATAGAAAAAAGAGTTTTATGTTAATATTAAATATGTATTCTTAAAATATATATATATATATATATATATATATATATATATATATATATATATATATATATATATATATATATATATATATATATATATATATATATATATATATATATATATATATATATATATATATATACATCTTCAATATAAACTAAATGGTAAGCAGTGTACTATCTACGATATTCTTAGCCGGCAACTAGATTTATATTCTCAATCTGTACCAAGATGTCAAAAATTTCATAACTGAAGATGAGCTTTTCCAACGTGGAGGTCAACGATTCAAGAAGGAAATTCAAACACAAAGGATGCGAACGCACTAAATGATTATTTTGTTACTTCTAACTTCTCGAACGCCACTTCTAAAACCGAACTTCTGTATTATTACAATATTAACGTATTTTAAAATATATCGAAAAAATTTAATTTTGAGCTGGTCGGAGAGGAGGATGTCTTCAGTATACTTGGAAACATAAATACTAATACTACTAAATTTCCAAAAACTAAGAATCCGTCCGGGGTCACTGATCTTCGTTCGATCAGCATTCTTCCTACTTTCTCAAAAGTCTTACAGTAATAGAGTGGCAGCTGAGCATTCCAGCGCAAATAGAATACTACCAGAGAAACAATCAGGATTTAAGTCAGGATATATCTGCGAGAATGTTATTTATACTATTTATATTTATTTTACTATTTACTGTTTAAACTTCTCAGTTTCACATGTGGCTAAATCACCTTAATTATCATCATCATTCGGCAAAGTTTGGAACATATAAATTCTGATTTAAATAACTTCTATAATATTGCTACGGATCATCTACTAAAAACTAAGCCTACAAAATCAGCTGCTGTAATTTTCAGAAACGATGTTCAAGTTGAAAATTCAAGAAATTAGCTCTTGTTAACAATTAATGATTCTCTCCTGCAATTTTATGATTCCAGTAAATGCTTAGGTTTATTCTTGGATTGTAAATTTCTTTTCCGTTAGCATGTAACTGAAAAACTGAAAAACAGCAGTACTTTAAAACTAATTAGTAGATTATTTTATAACAATTCATCTAATCTCTGGTAATTTCTACGTGGAATACTGTTGCCAGTTTGCCGATTGGAATGAAAAATCCTATTTTGGTCGTGGGTTCAGATATCCGAGCTTCTTGGGTTTTTGACCCGTATGTATTCCAGAATGACAAAACTCCTATTAGTGGGCCATTTTCCACTCTTCTCTGATTGGAATATTGCTGTTAGCGTGCCCGTTGGAAGAGTATTTTTTTATTTTTTTCGGAATTCTTATATCAGAGCTCCTACTTCTACCTTATTAGTGAGTCATGTTTACAGTCTTCTCTGGTTGAGATTTAAGTTCCGTAAGGTTTAACAAAGCAGTACTTGCTTGCCATAGACAGCCCTAATAGTGACTTCTGCCTTTATATCCCTGCAAAGCTGACCATAGTTGTTGCTATATCGATCAATCAGTGGTCATTGGCCTTGTAGTAATTTACATTGGACGGATCATGTAGATCGATCTGTATTGGAAGAATATTTCCTTGTGTTCATTGCTCTAGTAACTCACAGATTCACTAGCCTTTGCATGTCACTTACTCAGCTTCCTTGTCGCCTCCACTTCCATGGTTCTTTTCCATCGTCCATGGAAACTTCATAAAATTTGTTTATATGTTTCTAATGCTACATCATTAGCATTTCATAATAAATGCGCTTTAAACTGTGTTGTGTAAGTCTGCTGCATAAACGGAAACCCTTCAGACAACTCGCAAACTTTATTTGGTCAATAAAATATGATTTACGACGGCCATATAACATATAATAGGCTTTATAGATATTTTAGTACATCGTTCCATCGTAATTACCCCATTTTAAGAGAGGTGCCAATTTTATAGCCGTATTTACCGGCGCTCTTTTCACACTCTGTATAGTCGCGGTGGACTCCTTTGCGGCGTCCTTTTTGCTGACTACCGGCGTTGTCTACTTTCCCGAGAACAAGTAATAAAATGCCGGTATCCCAACTTAAAGAATGGCGCCCGGGTGTCACGCGTTCTGTCAATTGTTATTGCCAAACGTGCCTGATTTTTTGAAAGCAACAAGTTGAACGGATATTGAGTTACTAAGGTGAATACGCTGAGGTCAATATAATTTTTTTTAAGAATATTATAGGTGAAATCTTTTACGCGCGCCCAATCTACAGCATCGGCTGCTAGGGCCCTTTGATGTCAATCTCTATTGATTACACACACATATTTATCTCCTTGCCTTTGTAAACCATACATTGAACGTTCACGGATTATGTGAACGACAATCAAATTTGAAATTTCAAAGTTCACTGTTAAGATGTTTGTGGGTAAGAGTTGTGTTCTGTAGACAGTCTGGGTAGTTCTGTGGATGCATTTTTTGCTGTTACTTCTAGTATTGTTTTTCGAAGGAAGGTGTTACATCCACTTCAGGTATTTCGTATTTCGTCAGTCCTGACTGATTTTTTCGTTCACAAGTTGTCTAAACTGTTTTCTTCCTATGGCCAAGCTCTTTACAATTGTGACCTTATCGTCATTTATCTGTTCCCTTGGTCGGTTAATCACAAATCTTTCGAGACACTCTCTATTTATTAGTGCTAAAGGACGTGTGCTACTTCTCCAACTGGAGCCACCTCTCCAATGCCTTTGATTGTGTCAGTCATTCAGATTAGCTAAGAAAAACTAGACTCTACCCTACCCTACACTCAAATAATCATAGATATCCCACGTCCTCATCAAATTCGCTTCGTTCTAGGAACTTTAAATACACTAAAAGCGTGAAAATTCTCTAGACCTAAGCTTATGTAATCTAATTCAAAATCAGGTCACAAATTTGCCATTTGTACGGAACATCGTTTTTATTCTTTACAAAAATAAAAACAATTGTTGTAATCGAAATGCAGATTTCATTTAATCGTATACATTTTTTTTGTTCTTGGAGGTGCTGTAACTTTTATGTTAACACATCAAGCAGTCAGTTTTTCTGCCTTGCTAGGTGATCGTGTGGCATCAATTGTTGGACGAGTTGGATTTTGTAAGCACCCAAAGCAAAATCGTCCATATCGAATTCCTGTGCACGATGGCGGGATACACCGATTCGAAGCTTCCTCAGTGTTACGGTCTCCAGCAGCAAAGACTTCTTGTACGCATTTTACGACGTCTCTGTGGATGCGTATTATCATTTAGAGTAAATATGGAAACCATAGCACAGGTTTACAAAAATTAAACTTTTTGATAGATGTTTTTATTTTGAAAACTGATTTTATATAACTTTGGTAGGCTGATTTCAAAAATTCTGCGCATTTATTTTGTATCGCGTAAGGTTTTTGAGCAAATATTAAAGGAAAAAAAAACGATATATTTCTAGCATTTCTAGCATAAGTAGAATTATAGTTTAAAAAAGTTAAAGAAAAACTTTACTCAGACTTTTCTCAGTGAAATGTTTTTTTTGTCAGAAAGCTGCGTTGTCCAGATATTCGGCTGTGTTTTTAAGGGCAAATCCCGTTTTAACATGCAGCAGTAGTCCGCTATCATTATTATGCTCCATCAAGCCAAGTTTGATATGGAGAGGAGGCAGTAAAAATTTTTTGGGGTTCACTAAGCTATCTCTTACATTTTTGCCGCCAGGCGTAAAGCCTGTTTTATCTGATTCCAAGTCTATCTCTAGTCCGACTATCCCGCTCACAAATAAAGCATGGAAATTTTGTAGAACCCTCCTATTATCCTAGGAGCATGCACAACACTTTAAGGTCACCACAAGCATCCATATTCTTGGTGGTTTATTTTATTCAAAAGAAGTCCTAAATTTTTATACGTTTGTTTTAAATGTACCGAATATGAAACGGGAACCGAGGCCAATTCGTTACCGTGCCGCAATAAAACGCCTTTTAAACTATGCTTACTTTAGTCAATGAACAAGAGATTCCGATAAAAGCTTGATGTGAGGTTCCAGTAAATGCTTGTCAAGTCTGGAAGCTAACAATTCCGATGCATCCTTTGAAAGGTGCAAATCTCTAATTAAACCATTTAATTTGCCCTGGTTAAACACTTAGGGCTCTCTGAAATCTGGTGTGAAATCTGAGTCACTTGGGTCGGAATTAGATTCCTCTGATTCTGACGATATGACGTTTTCTACTTCTTTTGGGGTGGTAAGTATCGATACATCTGGTCCAAGAGAAACTGGTCGAATAGCAGAGTCAAGATTGGGATGCACCATTTGTTTCTTATTTTTTCTGTTGAATCTTTGAAGATTACACTATCAACAATAACAACCATCATTGTGATCCCTAGGCACTCGCCATACCATAGGAACGCCAGAGATTAAACATTTCCTCCACCTTTTTGCCAGTTTCTTAATGCTTCAACGCAAACGAAACAAACAGTATAAGCAGCCTGGGACTTGTCTCGGTCGCCAATTTTTACACCAAAATAAGCGTGGTATACATTGTTCAACAAAATAAGTTATAGTTTGCTATAGATATAACACTAGAACACTAGAAATACGCAGCAACGAAGACAATAGACGCGAACACAGCAGCACGACGACCAATACAACCAAACTGCGCATAAGCAGTTTACAACGTTGTATCGACGCTTCTGCGCCTACTCTGTTGCTTTGCAGAGAAATCCAATATTATCCAGTGTTGCCAAAACATATTAAATTTCATAAAAATTAATTCATTTAAAAATCATGCTTATCATGGGACAAATATATTCATGCCATAGGTATGTATATTAAGAAAATAACATTTTTTAGATATAGAGCGCTATAAAAAAAATTACATAGCAATGATAGGGCAAAAATATGGCGTTTTTTTAAAAAAGGGCCCCAAAAAATATACAGATAAGCAAACAGGTTTCCAACATCAAAATCACTGTAGACCTGTGTAATCATAGATATCCCAG